TTAAAAGCATAATAATAATAACAAAGCATTCTAAAATCTCTGTTTTTTTTACTGTATTTCTGCGGGAAGAACCCAACCCCCTTCTCACTGCAGCCCAGCTTCCATCAGAAAACCCCATCTCCATTACTCTTCCCCAATGCGGTATAGTGAACATACACCCTGGCCCGCGAAGGTTAACCTTCAGTCATCAATCACAATTGTCGGAGTGTGAGGTGCTGCGGCACGGCTGTACCATGATATATTACACATATAAGTGGAGGCATCTTAAGGTGGCTAAGAGCCCGGGCTCTAATTTACAAGCCAGGCCTAATGCACCTTATTGTGAAGTTAACAGTGTAGTGCATACATGCACTTATGTCCCAGGATGCTCTCGATGAACTAATGCATCTCTCACATGCCAAGCCAGTAATGGCATTCTCACTGTTATAGATAGAGATGCTATCAGCACAGCAAATTATCCTTCTTGCATGGGGTTTCAACTGTGTATTCTGGGATGCCTGACAAAATGAAATGTAGTGAATAGAATAGAATAGAATATCTGGGGACCTAGTCACATGTTCATGTCAAATGCTCATCTTCTCTCAGTTTTTCACTGCTTGGCTCCTGGACTAGGAGGTTTGCAGCTCAGGCATTTTATAACTCATCTCTCTTTTCCTGACTCTTGCACTGACTGGAAAGGACAGTGATGAATCTTTAAATATTTTGTGAAAGATCTGAGTGGAGTCATCCATATTACCTATGAAATTATCTCTCTGGAAGTTGAAGTTTAGGGGACTCCCCTGAGATTGAAACAACAGTACCAACATACAACTAACATAACCAACGGATACCAAAATTGTTTAGTGACCAACATTCTTCACATCTTATTTTGTCTTCCACAGAAGATAGAAAATCATACAGGTTTGGAAAGACATGAGGGTGAGTAAATGATAATAGAATTTTAATTTTTGGATGAACTATCCCTTCAACTGAAATAATATTACTGTGATAACATCTGCAACAATCAGCAGGGAACATCAAATAAAGAGCTTCAGGCAGCTGCCCTTTTCCATAAATAATTTAGGAATCATTTTGGAGGAGTTCTTATGCTCAGCTTTATCATTATGTTGAAATATTACCAGGGCATTATCAGAGTATCTCCCTTCTGAAGTTCATTATAAAACATCTTTAGGTATCAGAACGATGGCCTAGTGATTCAACACATTGAGTCCATACATATCTGCACCTATAAAAGGCATCAAAATCTCAGAAAAAAAGGTATTTCTAAAGGCACTCATCATTTGATCATCATCTGAAACAATGGGCTAGATAAAGTGCCTAAATAAACTGGATATCAGGCGAATATCTGAAAAAGTTCTAAAAATTATATTCCTAAAAAATGCAGACAGCATGGGGGAAAAAAATAGAAAATATGTGGAGAAAGCAGTATCAGCAGCTGTAAATAAATAAATCAGAAGCAATGTTAGAAGTCAGTAAAAAGATCAGGCAAGACTTGGGGTGAAGACACGCCATTAGAACAGAACAATAAATCCCTCTTACGGCCCTTGCTGTGTTTTGTCCTCTCTGGCTAAATACTCTGTAATTAATCCTCACTTCCCTTCAGTTCACAATCTACCTGCAGGCTTTGCTTTGGCCTAACAATCACAATAAATTAAACTGCCTTCTGCTCCTGCAGGTAAAGGCCACTCAATAAAAGCGGCCCAGAAATCTGTTATGCAATCTATTCTGAGAAACCCGGAGGAATGAGAGTGGCACCCACAAAGTTTTATTTGTTTGTATGCTTTTCTAAGTGAGTGTATGACTACGGGTTGTTCATAGAACTACTCCATTTATATTCCTCTTGCACAGAGTACATCCTGATTAATGAACAAAGATCCATATTAAATCTCTTAATTTTTAGGAAACCCAGGATTTCTTGAGCATGATAAGGCTTCTTGTTTTTCCATATGCAAAGTGTTAGTATTGTAGCTGCTACACGTCCTTCACAAGCAGTCTGAAGTCTTAATTTAATTCTGTTTATTGCAAATATGAGCTTACTGGGATTAAGAGAATAGGAAAATAGGTTTTATTTACTGAATTATTGAGATTATTGTACACATCCTTATAGCTTTACTGATCGACTACCAATTAAGGCTAGTACACAACAGACACATTAGTACACAGTTTAAAGAGGCTTTATAAAATAGGTTTTATATCCTCAGTGCATTATTTTTATATTTAATAAAATGTGTTTTCATAGTTCCTGTTGTGCCTAATTGATGCAAAGTCACTAAATAATAAGGATTTGTGCTAGTATTGTGCAACATTTCTGAACATTTAAAGGGCACTTTAAGAGAAAAGTGGCAATAAATGACTATATATATATATATATATATATATATATATAAATAAATCATCCCTTGCAATTATTTTATATTCCACAAGGGGTCCACAGACCCCGTTGAAAAACTCTGTCACAGTACCACTCACTTGTCATCATCAAAGTCAAATAACTCAAGAGCAAGCACAAGATTACAGTTTATGATTGCTGAGTGATTGAGTTATTGATCTTGTTCAATCTAACAACAGGATGATTAACTGGCAGGTCAGCAGCTGTACTTCAGTTAATGTGAAGTTAAGGGGGATTTCATTTATCCACTTCTACGACTGTTAAAACAAATCATGCAATAAGCTTTGTGCAGTCAATTTGGTCTAAACATACTGAAGCAATCTTTATGAAAAGACAATGACGTAAATAATCACAAATAAACCTGTCAAGTCAAACACTTAATTAGCATATCCACCTGTCAACATCACTACACATTCATGCGTTCGATCTTTCAACAGCACTGTAATGACTTAATTGATGTACAAATTCATTTTGAAGATTTTGCTTATTTTATTCACACTTCCTCCCTACCTTCATGCACCGAATAGGCAGTACAATCCCATTTAAAAAGCCAACAGACCATGTAAGGACATTACTCAAGCTGAAATGCTTTCGAATTCAAAGCGTGTGAAGGTAACTAGCTGCACAGATGATCAAGGCAGCTTGGTTCTTTGGGATTTCACAAGGAATTTGTTGCCTAGATCTAGTTTCTCAGATATAAGAATAGGCAGGTCATTAATGCTTTGCTAAAAAGTGCTCAAACCTCAAAGTTGTGTAGCCAAGCATTATCATACGTCTTTAGTAGTGGCTAAGGACAAACATGACAATTGAGGAGAGCAGTTGCCACTTCACATTTTCCTCCTGGAAGAGCTGTAAGCTTTAATTGATTTTCCATCAGAGAAATGGACTGTGGATTCCGGTTCCAACACATCCTTTTCTTCACAAGCATTTCCTATTATAAAAAAAAAAAATCTGCCCTTCAAACCAGGTATTCTCCTCTAACTTGAAGCGCGAGGACATGTGAACTAAGAAGGGTTTACTGCTCCTACCTCATCTTGTTTGCTTAGGATCCAGTCATGCACGGTCTTCAGGGCGATTTCTGCTGCCGGCTCATTGGGAAAACCTGCGGATAGGAAGGAGAAGGATTCAGTTTTGAAATCGTGCCATAGACTAGCATATGTACTCACACTTTAAAACTTACGCAAACATCTCCATATGGCTGTTTACTACTCAACTCTCTCCACACTTTCAGCAGTTACTATAAACAACAGTCTGCTGAATATGCACACAAATCCAACACTAAACACTCACTACTTATTCATCCAAAAAACGCCCACTTCTTTATTAAACCAGCACCTCCGCTGTTATATAATTCACATAATTGTTTGTACATACCCATCTCGCATCCCAAAATGTGGTCTATTAGCTATATTTATCATGGGTGCTTGCCAATTCCTTGTAGATTTACTGATCCATTAAGTTGCTTCGACATGATTGATAATTTACACTGTTCTGCCATGCATCTGTGGCAGGTGCCGGGGTCGTCACACCACAATCTTGATTAGAAAGTAATGACACATTGACCAGTAAATGTAAGAGATGATGCCATTAACTGCCATATTAATCACCAGAGCCTGAGCTGAGAGGGAAAGCAGTCTTGGTGTTAACACAGCGTATCGATTGAGAATAAATAGACTGAAGGAGATTAATATTTAATATTGCTGAAGGAGAGGAGGAGTCATCATCAAACAAGTGCCTTTTCCATTTTAAAAAAGGTCATTTTAAAGTACATTCAAACAGAAAAATGTCTTCAAGTGTTGATAAATTGGATTGTGTGAGATTAGATCACTTAATTTGAGTTCTCAAGATTTTGTTATTTTTTTTTAAAGCTGTTGGAAACTATAATGCTAAAAATAATTCCAATGTTCTATAAAAATCTTAAATATAATTTCAATATTCTATGTAATCTTAAATATTTTAAATTAATTATTTATGCAGAATAATAAACAAATAAAATGAATAAATAAAAAAAAAATCCACAAATAATCCATAATGCTATAATATAAAATGTACATTATTGTATATATAAAAATATATGCAATAAAGAATACTGACATTTTACATAAACTACCACTCAAAAGTTTTTTAATGAATTAAAATTTAATTTAAATTTTAAGTTACAATAAAAATGTTGCAATGTTATAAAAAACACTTTTCAAATAAATGCTGTTCTTTTGTACTTGTTATTCATTAAAGAATCCTGAAAAAAATTATATATTTGTATTAGAATCCTGAAAAATGATAATATATATA